TACAGGAAACTGAGGCTTAAGCAAATTAAGGGATCTGTTCAAGGTGATTTAGCTGGTAATTGGCAAAGCTGAGGTTTGAATCCTCTTTTTTTTTTTTTTTTAATTTAATTGTGATTTGGGTGAAAATTTACAGAGCAAATTCACTTTCCATACAGCAGTTCACATACACTTTGTCTCCTGACATTGACCACAATTCATCACAATGCAACAGCTCCCTTCCCACTTCTTCCCAACAGTCACCTCTTTCCTGTGTCCATCCGTCCATGCACTCCTGCCCCCTGAGCTGTCTCCCTGTGCATAAACAGCCCTTCTTTCTCCCATGATTGTTCTCTCCAAGGAGTGTATCTACCTCAGGTAAATGTTCAACTCATATGCCTGTCTTTTGTTTGGCTGGATGCCACAGGTGTGGGTTCAATTCCACACCTGAAGAGAGCTGGAGGCCATAGTCTCAGTGGTTCTACCAGCCTCTATTAGATCAGCAAACCTGGTCCACCCCCCTTTTTTTTTCCAAATGATTTTGAGTTTTGTTCCACATTGTTCTCCCTCTCTATCCAGGATTTCCTACATAGATCCCCCTCTGAGTAGTTGACAGTGGTAGCCGGACACCATCTAGTTCTTCTGGTCTTATAGTCGTATAGGCTGCAGATCACATGGTGTACCAGTCAGTAGGACTAATTCTTTCCATGAATCTTCGGTTTTCTTCATTCTTCTTGCTGTAAATGAGGAGAGACCCATCATTGCATCTAGATGGCTGCTTGCAAGCTTTTAAGATCCCTGTTGCTACTCACCAAAGTATGAGGTGGAGCAATATTTTGTGTAATATGTAATCCATTTTTATGTGTCTCCTTAGCAGTGTTCTGTTAAATCTGCTTCCTCTTATTGTAATAGTCTGGATCCATGGTAGATATTAAAAGTTTCTATCTATTTATCGGTAAATATGTGATATGAAAAGGAAGAAAACATGACTTCACAAACTGGCCAATATATCTTGGGAGCCAATCCCGAGATTCTTCCTGATACAACTTAAATTGCCATTCTTTACTAAATTTTCCTGGGCTGTCCTACTCCGCTGATCTGATTAGAGAATTGTGGCCACACTGTCTCAGAGAATGCCATTTGGCCTTGTTATCCAGTGGTTTTGCTATGGGAGCCCTTGCTGCTCAACTCAACAATTATCTCCTTCAGGATCTCCCATACTGCCTAGGAGGGTGTCTGTTATATTGCACCTCCCTGGCTGGTAGCTTGCCTGGGTTACCAGAGGCAAAGCAGGAAGAAATGAGTTAAAATCAAGTTCCCACAGGCTGTTCTGGGAGTCCTTGGGTAGTGCAAATTGTCATTGTACTTGACTGCTAACTGAAAGGTTGGAGAAGTTCAAGTCTACCAAAGGCTCCTTGGAAGAAGGGTCCGGCAGTCTACTTCCCAAAAATCAGCCACTGAAAACTTCATGGAGCACAGTTATCCTCTGACACCCATAGGGTTGCTGTGAGTTGGAATTGGCTCGAGGGCAACTGGTTTAAGAGGCTGATCTAACCATTCAGAAACTTCTCTGTGGGAGGGAGAGTAAGAAGGGGAAAGGCCAAGGCTGGAGTCAGAAGGCCCATGTTGCAAAGATGCCTGGGGTCTACTTTAGCAGCAGCTTGGAGTAACAAGAGCGGCCTACATAGATAATAACCCAGAAGATTCTCAGGTCTTTATTTATTATTTGTGTGTGTGTGTGTGTGTGTAGGACAATTTATTTTTTATTTTTATAATTTAGTCAGATTCAGCCTCACCACCATTATTGTCATTCTAAGTCACTAGAAGCCCAATATATGTTCTTAAGTAGGTAAGAAATATAAGAAGTTGCTACTAGCAATTGAGCAAACCCTACAATCTACATTAACAGTAAATACTCAACAAGGTGCTATGATGAGAAAAATAAATAATCTCTGTTCTTAATAAAATCCCTACCTCAGGAGACCCCATTTGTACTAATAGTCTCTTTAAAGAGGCCATATGTTGTTATATGGCATAGTGGATAAGACACTTGATTACTAACCAGAAGGTCAGTGGTTCAAACCCACCAGTTGCTCTGTGAGAAGAAGATAAGGCAATCTACTTCCGTAAACATTTATAGCCTTGGAAACCCAATGGAGGTTGCTGTAAGTTGGTATCAATGCAATGGCAGCAAGTTTGGTTTTTATGTTGTTACAAAAAAAAAAAAAATCAAACCTCTGACTGTGAGGTTTTAACCTACCACTGTCCTTGGTATGTTGTAAGATCCCAGCAAGTTTCATCCCTGGGAAAATGGGTATATTGAACAGCTGGCTGATACTGAAAGTGGGGGACATACTAGAATTGAATCAAATAGGGAAAGAGAAAATATCCTATACTAATTCCTTTCAACCATTCTGGTTGTGATAAGGAGAAAGTCTCAGTTTAGTACCAATAGTTCTTTAACACTTCTCTAACATTTGTCAAAGTATCTTAAAAATCTCCTATTTAAAAAAAAAAAATGAAGGGTGGGGGATATATGCATGTATGTGTTCATTTGCTTATTTTAAACAGTTTTATTGAAGTATAACTGACATACAAGGAACTGTACATATGAAAGAACTCTGGTGCTGTAATGGTTAAAGCATATGGCCAGAAGGTTAGCAGTTTGAACCCACCAAGTGCTCCTCAGTAGACAGATGAGGCAGTCTGCTTCTGTGAAGATTTATAGCCTTGAAAACCCTATGAGGTCGTTCTACTCTGATCCTGTAGAGTCGTCATGAGTGGCAATGGACTTGATGGCAGAGGGTATGATTTCATAAGCTTTGATTAATGTATACACTTATATAGCTACCACCACAATCAAGATAATCAACCCATCTATCATTCCAAATTTCCCTTGGGGCCTTTTGTAATAAGTGTCTAGCTCTTGGACTGGTAGGCAGATTAAGAACCAGAACCCAGTAGTCTTCCTCCCAGCCCCACCTTGTGATTTTGTAGCCTTTTGATGCCAAGAATTGAGGTCTGCTAAGTGCTACCCTAACTTTGCTGTTGAGTTAAGCTGTTTGAGTTCGAATCATGGTTTCATTTATCCCTGGGCAAATGACTTAGCCTTAGCCTCTTTACCTCTCAGATACCTTGTATGTAAAGTGGACATAATAAGTTGTTATGGGGATTAAATGAGATAGCCTTGGTGCTTAGGACCGAATGCTAATTTGGGAATCAGGAGTGTTAAGTAGACAGCTTTTGAAAAGCTGTATATTTGTGTGCAATTTTACATTAATTGTTCTCATTAGAGAGGAGGTACTCCTGAGACTCAGGGCTTACTCTTTTCCTTTCTGTTGCTCTCAGAAAGATAAATCTCAGGGCTGTGTCAACAGGGACCACGAATGAGGCTGGCACATAGTAAAATGCAATGCAATGCACTGCTGTGGAGTTGTATCCGACTCATAGAAACCCCTCCTTGGGTTTCCGAGGCAGTATCACTACAGAAGTAGATTGCCCAACCTTCCTTCCGAGGAGTAGCTGATGAGTTTGAACTGCCAGCCTTCTGGTTAGCAGTCAAATGCTTTAGGCACCATGCCACCTTAGCTCCCCAGCACATAGTAGGTGCTCAATAAGTATTTCCTGGGTCATTTTGCCTTAAAATTTTGATCTTTATGAAGAGATATATAAAATTTATTTTGTCCAGTTTGGGTTCATAAGTTTAATGAAAAGCCTATCTGTTAACCACAAGAAGCAACGGACCTTATGACAATGTGGTCTCGTTTCTAGAAATGCAATTCTGGTCAACTTTACAAACTCTCAGATCACCAATGAGTTCCCCAAGATTTTTTTTTTTTTCTCCTTTAAAAATGGAGTTACAAAGGCTATTAAACTATCTTGAATTTTAGGAGGCTATAAATTGAATTAACTCTGAGGTGCTGGTAATATTTTTTTGTTGCTCTAGATGCAGGTTACATGGGTGTGTTCATTTGTGAAAATTCATCAAGATTTATACTTACTTTTTTTTTAATTGAAGTATAGTTGCATATAGTAAAATGCACAAAACTTAAATGTTCAGCTCCATGTGTTTTTACATACTTGTGACCCCATGGCCATTACTCAGATTTAAACACAGAATATTTCTATCCTGCCTCAAAGTTCCCTGTGCCCCCTTCTCCAGACGTAAGCACTGTTATGATTTCTTCCACCATAGGCTTAGTTTTAAACTTCATACAAATGGGATAATACAACATGTATTCTTTGGTGTCTGGAAATTTTCACTCAACATGATGTTTTTGAGTCTCATCCATATTGTTGCATGTATCAATAGTCCCTTCTTTTCTGTTATTGACTAATATTTCACTGTATGAATATGCCACAAGTTTCAAATATAATGGAAGTTCTGTTTCCAGTTTGGGTCTCTAGTGAAGAAACCTTCTGTGAACATTTATGTTCCAGTCCTTTTGTGTCTATATGTGTTCATATTTCTTGGGTAAATAGCTAGGAATGGAATGCTGGGTTATAAAGTATGTATGTATGCTTACCTTTATTAGAAACTACCAAACATACAAGATGGCTATACCAGTTTACACCAGTGGTATATAAGAGTTCCAGTTGCTCCATATGGCTGTCAACACTTAGTATTATAGGTCTTTTTAAAAGCTGATTTGTAAGCAATTCTCCATGTGTATGTTATCCTTCCATAAAGAAAGAAAAAATTAAATCAACAATAAACATAATGGTAGTTAGTTCTAATACTGAAACACTAAAAATTCAAAGAAATAATCTGGATATTTTGTTCACAAATGCCAAGAATCCAGATATCTTAATCCTATTCATACTGATAAATGGATTTTATATTATACAGAAATTTTACATAGTTTATCCTTGGGATTGGGTGAGAAAATATGTCTGGGGGGCATGGAGAGCCTCCCCTTGAGGAATCTTTTCATCATCTTTCCCTTTTACTTTTGATAGGATGATTTATGGTTTGGAGTATTTACACAGGAGCTTATCACTTTTCTCCTTCTTTCCCATTTCAGAGCATAAATGCCCAGTGGATGAGCGGGAGCAGTTGGAGGAAACCTTGCCTCTGATTTTGGGGCTCATCTTGGGTCTGGTTATTGTGGTGACGCTTGCAGTTTACCACATCCACCACAAAATGACTGCTAACCAGGTGCAGATCCCTAGAGACCGATCACAATATAAGCACATGGGCTAGGGACCATTAGCCAGGCAGTCCTCAGCCCCTCCTTCCCCCAACTGGATCAGGTAGAGAAACAAAGGCACTTTTCCACCTCGTAAGTGAGGATACACCAACATAGCTACAATCAAATAGGCCTGGGTATTCGAGGCTTGCTTGGCCTGTATCCATGCTTAAATCCAGGGATGGGGGGATTCTTTTGGATTCATGGGGTGAGTGGCAGGGGCTTTCTCTCCATGCTGAAGAGTGGGGAAGGAGGAGGTCAATTAGCTTTTATGCTTATGGGGTTTGTCTTTGACTCTCCTATGAGAAAGACATATAACCTGGAGGGCATCTGGACTAGAAGTTTAGGGATTAAAGACATACATTTTTTGGGGAGGAAACCCCTTTAGGATCAAAGGAAGAGGGGATGCTTTGCTCCCTTAGACATGGCTTGCCCTACACTGTTGTCAGTACACACACAATACAGCCTCATGCTCCCTGCAACAAGACCCCTGAAAGTGATCCATGCTTCTGGCTGGCATTCTGCATGTCTAGTGATTGTCTTGGGAATGTTTACTGCTACCCGCACTCAGCGACTGCAGCACAAAACCCGTTTAATGTAACTATGCAGAGTTGTTTGGACTTCATAATGTGTCAGGTCCAGGTAAGGTGACCTGAAAAATCAATTCATGTGTTCGTTTTTCCAAGTGAATTAAAACACACTACTGTCTGAACTCTGGCTTGCTTTCTTGAAATAAGACTCAAAACTAAACTCACCGCCATCGAGTCAATTTCAACTCATAGCGACCCTTGCTTGGGTTTCCAAAGCAGTATCTCTATGGAAGTAGATTGGCCAGGCTTCCTTCCAAGTGAAATAAGACAACAAAACTAAAATGATTTCTTTGACATCTATAGGAGAAAGGGGAATGATTAAAGTGGCTTTTTTCATTTTAGCAAGAGGAAAACTACAGAAGGGAATGGAAGAAATGAGGAGAAGTTTATTGGTTACAAAAAAAAAAACAAAAAAAAACCCACCATGGATTTTATTTTGGTAAATATAATTACTTTTAATAGTGTACCTCTTGAACGATTGGGCTAGTATCACTTCTAGATGCTTCTTGGTATTGTGTTTTGCATTTCAGTTTGGATTAAAAAGCTGGACTGAATTGAGATTTATTTGAATTAAGATAATAAGTTATTGAAACTTCCTAGAGAAATGTACATTTTGAACATTACTTACTTTCTAAACACCCCAATATCCCCACACTGTCTCCACTATATGATGGGAAGCTCATATCTCTAATTCTTAAACTGCTGATGGCAGTGCATCCTCAGAAGTTCATTATCCCAGTGAGGATCAGCAAGTTTATTGCTCCATCAACCTCAATCTTTCCCCCACATTCCCTCTTCAGGATCTGCCTGGTCCTAGTGACAAATAATGCTCTATTCCTCATAAAAGTTGGTGTTACACCAGGATAAGGAAAGTGAAGGCTTTTCCCCTTGGTGCTGATGGAAACACCCCAAGGATGGCTTACTTCACTCCTTTCTTCACCTGTGATCATGTCACCCCCTGGGCTTCAAACTCACCAGCCCTGTCCTTTGTAACATCCCACAGATGTTTTGAAAAGAGAACTGAATATTCTCCATTTGGAACCAACTATTCAGGGATTTGGGGTGAAGTGGACACTTAGATGTAGCTAAGATTTCACAATGAGTTACAATTCCTTTCTGTAAGGCCCTCAGGAAAAAAAAATAATAATAAAATAAAAATAAACTTCTCTGCATCATACATCGGAAGAGTCCCTTGGTTTTTTTGTTTGTTTGTTTGTTTTTTAAATTTGCTTTTATCCAACATAGGACTCACGGTTATTTTTGGAATCACCATCCATTCATTCTTCCAACAAACAGTCTTGAGCACCTACTGAGTCCACATTCAGTGCTGGGTACATAGTAGTGAACTTGAAGTTGACAGCTTCCAGTCCATGGGAGAGGACTGACACAAAACCTACACACATAAATCTGGCATTCTGAAAATGGACAATGTGTCCTACCTCTCCTCAAAATGAAAACATCCCTGTGTCTGACGTGCCAAATTAAATTTTGCTGTAATCCAAATTTCTTAATTCTCAAAATAAGAGTGACTTTTCTGCCTGTGATACTCAGTATATACAAAAATATATACAAAATTTACTATTATTATTATTCATCAGGTCATCTTTATCAAGTTGTTCTAAAATCAGGTCTCAAACTCAGCCTAATTTCTTTTGAACTTAGACTTATTTTTCTCAAACTTGACAATCTCTATCATCAGCTAAACAAAGGGGGCCTCCAGATGAAGTGTAGAGCATTCTCCTCTGGGAGTGACTGTGACCAGCTTCCTGCTTAAGGAGAAGGCCAGGTATCCAGAGGGAATGAACTCAGCCCACTGCCATTGTCCTGCCTTTTGGACCAGAATGTAGATGTGGCAATGGGTCAGCTATCTGCCTTGCTTCCTAAGCTAGGAGATGGGAAAAGAAAACAGATGCTCAATTGCCCCATTAATGTCATTATTCTTTTTTACTGGATCTTTCAATGCAATCGCCTCTGGGCACAAAAGGGTGCAGAGTCTGGTTACTGGGTCTGCCTGCTTGGAAAAGTCAGGCTAGACAAAACACATGCAGATTACGTTTGAGGGGAGGGTAAGCTTGATTTAAATTCTGGGCATGTTTCTTTGCAGAATTCCCCTTACCCCCATACCCAGGAAATAGCTTGGAGAGAAACTGCTCCCTATGCCAGGATAGACTCAACTCTCATCCCAGGCCTCCAAACAATAGCCATTCCCTTCTCACCAATTGTCCAGTCTTTCCTCTTACTGAAGCCAACTTCCAAGTAGCAAAGATGTGACAAAGAGACGTAGGTGTGGGAGAGAGAACTGTGAGTGGAGAAATGGGAGGAAAGGTGCATGACCCTCAGTTCCTGGTGGAGGAGGCATCCTGCTGTGTGGGTGTTTCCCCAGGGAAGTAGTCCAAACTGGTGTTGGACCCAAATGCTTCCTTGGAAAAATTTTCCAAGTGATCTGAGCCAGACAGACACAGCTTTGAATCAATGTGTCACAAAGTGCAGTTTGAAGCAGCCTGCATCAGAATTATCCTTTGGGGGCTAACTCTCAGCCAAACAATAGATAGGCCTATAAGCTGAACACCTACACCAGGGATATGCACTCCTTAGAACAATCCACCATGGGAGATCAGAAGGGCAGCATTTGCACAGGGAGAAAGCTAGGAAGGCAAGAATGCATAGGCAAGAAAGACAAAGGGAAAGAGTAAACGCAGTGTTCTGGTTACCGAGTGCCACTTTGATAGGAATATACCACAAATGGGATGGCTTGAACAAACAGAAGTTTGTTCTCTTATAGTTCAGGAGTCTAGAAGTCCGAGTTCAAAGTGCCAGGCTTTAGGGGCTGGGTGAAAGCCCCTCAACCTTGGGCTTCAGCTTTGCCTCTTGCTCCTGGCCCACTGAAGCTAAAGGCATCTCTTTTACTCAGGCAGCTATTGGCTGCTGAGGCTGACAAAAGCAAGGTCGACAAATAAAATGGCACAGTCCCAATGTTACCAAACCACACAGCAGCCATTCATTCAAGTCCATTGTAAGTCGCAAGGTCAGCAAAGCAAGGCAGGCTGCTGAACAATTACATGGATACATGCAGGGTTCAAGTATGCCATAAGCTAGAGACCATTCCCCAAGCCTTCTCCAGAAGCAGACCACATCCCTAAGGCAGCTACTCAGCTACTCAGCTGCTCCCAGTAGATTCCACCATGGAGTTGATTACCAGTCTCATCATGGGTAATACTATATCCAGCTGCCCAGCCACTCAACCAGGCCTAGCCAAGTTGCCACACAAACATAACCACCACACACAGGGAAGAAGTGGGAAGAGAGCTGTCACATTGTGGGGATTATAATCAATATCACAAAGCAAAATGTGTATGAACTTTTGAATGTAAAGCTACTCTGCTTTGTAAAATTTCCCCCAGATCATAACATTGTTAGGTGCCGCCGAGTTGGCTCTGACCCATAGTGACCCTACGTACAACAAATGTAACACTGTCCAGTCCTGCACCATCCTCACAATCATTGCTCTCTTTAATATTTGCATCTGTTTCTTCCCATTTTGAGTCACGTCCCATCAGCAAATGAAGGTCCCAAAAGCTTTATTCCAACCACATGCTTAAGGTCAACTCTCCTTTGAGGAGGCATCTCTTCCTCAGTCATATTTTGAGTGTCTTCCAATCTGAGAGGTTCATCTTCTGGCACTATATCAGACAGTGTCTCACTGGTATTCATAAGCATTGCAGTGGCTTATTTTTTAGAAGTGGATGGCCCCATCCTTCTTCCCAGTCTGTCTTAGTCTGTAAGCTCTGCTGAAACCTGTCCACCATGGGTGACCCTACTGGTATTTGAGATTCTGGTGGCATAGCCTCCAGCCTCACAGCAACACTCAAAGCACGACAATATGACAAACAGACAGATAAGTGGTGGAAATCATGATAAAAAGGAAAAAAAAAAAAAAAAATTCTACAACATCGTCCCAGACTGACTCTTTGAGAATCCCTAGGATGACATCCTTGAGTCTGCATTTTACTAAGGTAATGCTGCTGCAGGCTGGGGTATGAAAACTTCTAGCCAAAAATGCTTCACCTATCATTTACCTTCTCCTTGCAAAGTTGTTTGAGGATCCAAGAAAGCTACAAGTTAAATGTTAAATGTGATCATCACACTGGAAATGCTACGTAAAAGGTATTATTAACGATGTTTTTCTAGCACAAAACTTAACACACATACATACCAAAAAAACAAAACAAAACAAAAAAAACCTCAAACTCACTGCTGTCGAGTTGGCTCTGACTCATAGTGACTCCTCCTTGGGTTTTGAGATAGTTTTGAGATAGTATCACTACGCAACTAGATTATCCAACCTTCCTTTTGAGGAGTGGCTGGTGGGTTTGAACCACCAGCCTTCTGGTTAGCAGTCAAATGCCTTAGGCATTATGCCACCA